TTTTCTGCTCGGACGGTTTTTTTTAGGCTTTTTTTTTCTTGGGGGGGGGAGGGGGAGGAGAGGAGAGGGCGGTTAGTCTTGAACTTTTTTCTTTTTTTTTGAGGGGGGGAGGTAATTTTTTAGGGGTGGAACTTTTTAAGGGATTTTTTTTTTGGCTAGTTTTGATTTTTAATTGGTAAGGGGGGGGGGTGAAGTGCATCCCCCTTTTAAAAGAAAAAACTAAAAGAAAAAAGATACAGAATAAAAAATAAAATCCCCATCAAAAAAAATAATAATAAAAAATAAAATAAAATAAAACGAAGTAAAAACAGCACACCAAACGCATTTCCAAAATGATAATAATAAATAAATAGATAGATAAAATATAAGATAAAATGAAATAAGATAAAACTAAAAAACGGAAAAAATATCCTTTAAAAACAAAACAAAAAAAATATAAAACGAAAAAGCAGCAAAACAGCACGCCATAAGGCCCGCGAACCAGCACCAACGTCATTTAGTAAAAAAAAAAAAGTAATAATGATAACAATTTTAAAAATATATAAATGAATACAATAAATGAATAGATAAATAAATAAAACGAAAAAGCAAAAAAATAAAATAAAACGAAGTAAAACGCACCAACCCCGTTTCCAAAAAAGAGAAATAGTAATAATAATAGATAAATAACAAATAACAATAACAAATAAATAAAGTAAAATAAAACTAAAAACGAAAAAAAAAATCCTTTAAAAACAAAAAGTAGAATGGAAAAAAAAAGAAATAGAAACAGCGCGCCATAAAACCCTACGTAATGAGACGTTTTACGCGGCAAAACAAGCACCGTCTTGGGGAAGGAAACTTGGACGAAAAAAACAACAAACAAACAAACAAACAAACAGAGAGGGAGAGATTCTTCTTGAAGGAGAGAGATGAAAAAAATAAAAGAATGTTTGCTCTTTTTCTTCTGTTGGAAATAAGGTTTGAACGTGTGTTTGTATTGAGTGTTTTTGTGTGTGTTTGTGTGTGTGAAGATAGATAGAGAGAAAAGAGTTCAAAGGAAGCAAATTAGATTATATATATATTATATGTATCTTGCTGTTGTCTATCGATCTACCCATCTATCTTCTGTCTATTTGCCTATCTATCTACGCCGTTGCCTATCTGTCTGCCTATTTATCTAACTGTCTAAGTATCTATCTTTTGTCTACTATCTACCTATCTATCTGCTGTTTATCTGTGTACGTAACTCTTCTCTCTCTGTGTATCTACCTATTACCTGCCAACCTACATACCTATCTATCTATCTATGCCTATCTATCTATTGATCATTTGTCTATCTTTCAATAAAGCTTTTCGTTTTTATGTTCGAACGATTCCATTCGTAGAGCTTTCTCCTTGTTTGAATCACGCGGATTACCTTTCAAACAAAGTGGGTTTAGAAAGCGGAATATTTTCGAGGAAAATCGTTTCATGTATTTTTGTTTCGTTTTTTTTTTTTTTTTTTTGTCATAGTTATCATTGCTTTTGTTGTTGTTCTCGAAGATAATATACATTTTTTTATGTTTTATGAATTTTATAATTGTCTTTATTGTATTTACTTAAATCAAATTTATTGTTGTTATTTTTATTACCATCATTATTATTATTGCTTTTATTCGTATCACTCTTAGTATAATAAAAATAACTATTGCTATAATAGTAATGGTAATGCTAATGATAATAGTAATGATATTGATTACGGATAGATACATAGATAGATAGAAAGATAGATAAATAGGTAGGTAGGTAGGTAGATAGATAAATAAATATATAGATAGGTAAACAGAGACAAATAGATAGAGAGCTATAGATATAGATACAGATGGATAAATATATAAGTAGATAGATGAACAGATACCTAGTTCGAAAGATATAGATACAAAAAATAGATAGATACATATAAAACAGAAACATTGATAAACTAAACAATTAAATACCTATTTTCCTCATTTATTCAATAGAACATATATAACAAAGTTACATTCCATTGTCGGATAATATATTCAGAAATAGAGGAATTTGATTAATATCCTTTCTCTAAACTAATATTCAAGGGAATAATATTTCAAGGTGAATCATACATCACGAGACCCTACAGCCATGTCAGAAGTATAATTGGAGAATTATATTTGTAATGTAAGTCACTCCGGTCTTGAAATATATTATATATTCTTTTTTTTTTTTTTTTTTTTTTTTTTTTTTTTTTTTTTGCTTTGCGGAGATTAGTTCTTTGGTCATTTAATTGCTAAGTGTAAGTGTTTCTCTAAGGAGTTGGTTTGTCGTTTGTTTTATTGTTATCATTATTGATAGTAGTTGTAATTGTAGTTGCAGTTGCAGTAGTAGTAGCAGTAGTGGTAGTTGTTGAGAAAGAGAGAGAGAGAGAGAGAGAGAGAGAGAGAGGCAAAGAGAGAGAGAAAGGAAAAGAAAAAGAAAAAGTTATTTTTCTATCTATTTATCTCTCTCTCTCTCTCTCTCTCTC